ATGAGTATATTTGCAGGGATGGTACTCTCTGGGGCTTTGGAACCTGTCCCTGTGCAGTGGGCACTTTGCCATCAGACTCATGCACTATCTCTGTAGAGATTCATTTGATGAATTTTCTTCGCCAGCCTGTTGATAAACTGATGTAGTTTTAAAAAGTTGTAAAGTGACCATTGGAGGGTTCTGTTTTCTCTTGATTTAATATGACATTGTTGAAAAGTTGAATGGGTTGAACCTGTTGATTGCAGATTTAAAAATCTGAGATTGACTTATGTAAAGATTTGAGTGTGGACAGTGTCTAATGTTCATGAAATGAAAAGTAGAATTGTGGGCAGATTTTTCTTTGACTGCTAGCTCACAAACAGTGACATAGAGACTTCTTATTAGTTATGAAACCTTGGCGTTTAGGTTAGCTTTGTTCCCAACTAGCTCTTATAAATTACATTAATCTCTTTATATTAATCTACAGTCTGTCACGTGGTATTGCCTCTCTTTTGTCTTACACATCCTGTTTCCTATATCTGCCTGTTTGGCGACTCTGCCCTCCTAGATTCATCCTCCCCTTCCTTCTCTCCCCAGAAATCCTGTTTGTACTTCCTGCTTAGCTAGTGCCCATTCAGTTTTTTATTACACAAGTCACAGCAACACATTTTCACAGTGTACAGATATCTCACAACATTTCCCCCCCCTTTTTTTGTCTAAATACAAAGGAAAGATTTTCTCTATAATATGGTAATAAGAATAATTATCATGTAGAAATCACATTCACATTGTTTAGTCCATCTGTATTTGGCAAATTCATAAAAAGTACTGTATTATCTGTCCTATTGTAGTCAGTCCAAAGTTTTATACCTAAACCACTTTCTATCATAACTTCTATTACCATCCTAAAAGTATCTTTTTAGACCTTAAAATATCTTCTTAGATAAATAACTTAAACTTTTGTGTTTCTCAACCTTAAAAACTACATCTTTTATGTAAGTTTCTTTTCTGAATTTGGTAACAAAGAAAAATATAACAATAACTATCTCTTCTTCAACTCCATTAGAGACCCGATATAGATATAATATTATCTGAGTAAACACAAAGTGTGGAGCAAACAACCTCTAAAACTATAGAAATGACAGACGTCTGGCTGACAGTTACCCAAGTTTCCTTTGTAACACTGGGACATCCATCTTTGGTTCAAAGGCCTAGAGTATCTGACAGACTTTTCAGTGATGCATATATTTTGACTGTTCTACCTTGTCTTGGCAAAAGTAGGTGGTTGTTTCCTTTTGTGTCCTTTTTGTCCAGTTTGGACAGCATATTGTCAGCAGTTCAGCTGAGGCAAGGTCTGTTTCTTGCTCAGTGACTTACTTTGCCATAGTAAAAGCAAACTTCATATGGAGGTTCTTTGATGCCCATCGTCCTTTTTTGAAGTAAATTGGTACTACCAGGAGCAGACATGTCTCACTGTCATGAAAAGCTATGTTATTAAGATGCTTTAAATGCCATATTCTGTAGGTCTATGAAGTGTTTGAAGATCATCTGTCTATCTAAAATATGTTTCTGTATGACCTTGAAAACATACCTAACATGACTACAAGTTTGATTGTTATAGTTAACTATTAACCTACAGTTCTTAATTATCCTAAGTGGTTTATAATAGTAACTTTTAAGGACTAGAACTTTTTATGTCACAGTTTTAAATGAGCAGCATAGGCACAATACCTTAAACAAGAGTAGAAACATATGTACAGTATAACAAAAATAGCCTTAAATTTGTATCAGTATACTAAAATCCATACCAGTGTAAAATATTTGAGACTAGTGGTTATTCAAAAGTATACTCACAATCTACCCTTTTATTCCATCATTCTATATCCCCACTTTTTCCCTTTAGAAAGAGATTCCTGAATTTAATTTTCAGGTTTTTCCTGATCATTACCGGTAACAGCTTGTAACCAACCCCTCTAAATGATGACAAACATCCAGAACACACTGAATGACCAAAAACCTCCCACCCTATCTCTTGGGAATGTGGACATCATGTTCTGTAGACTACTTCCTGTTATCTGGGGTCAATGGCATCTTTAGAGGACCCTGGGAAGATTGAGATAATGGTCAAGTCCTGGGAGAGTTATTTATTGCCCAGTCTCAATGTGATGGGAAAGTGCAAGGCTTATCTGAAGTTTTAGCTGGATAGTCTGAGGCTGGCTATCTCAGCTATTAGCTTTGAAGTTGTTCTGGATATATAATTTTGAGGACACTGCAACAGAGGCATTTTGAGAAGCTGGATCACAGGGACTATTTGTCTTGATTGATATCTAGTCCTTTTCTTTTCTGAAAACTCATAAATTTTTAAAGGATACACATACTAACAGAATTATGGAATATGTAATGTGTACAAGTCTGCCAAAGATGAAAGAATGTCATGTAATAATAAGTCATGAGGACTCTGTGGCCAACAATATTTATCATGTTTCATCTGTTCTCAGAGCTGTTCCCATAGTATAGGGATCAGCATGTATGTCACCTGTCCTGTAGTCTTTCTTGGTTTCTTTTTCATGTCTGTAGTCAAGATTTTTCAGGAGGTCTCCTCCAATCAAATTTGATCTTCACTAATTTTGAAGAAAACCATAACTTTTGTTTCTGTGTAAACAAAGGCATAACCTTTCCTCCAATGCAAAGTATTTTTTGACTTCCATTCTTAAGTGAAGATATTCTTAAAATATATAGGTTGGTTTAATGTAGCAGTTTCCATAATCCAGTATCTCTTAGCAGCTGTTCTTTTTTGGTCATTAGCATTTAAGAAATTCAAAGTCAGCAAGAATCCAGACACCCTATGTATTTCCCATCTTTATGTGGCTTTTTCCTTTTATATTGCTTTACTTTCTCTTTAAAGACTTTATTATTTTTAAACCTTATTTTTCTATGACTCTCTATAAACCTTTTCTTTCTTCAGCATCTAAGGACATTTTTAATCATAACTATATCTCTTCAGAGATTTTCTCCATCAGGACCCTACTTTCTGCATGTTTTCAGTGTTCTCTGACTACTTGAGCCAAATCTTAAACAGCTAAGTCTAGCAGACTTTTTTGGACCACCAACCAGCCTTCAGATCATTACACAGAGATTAACTTTTAATTATGAATGCTCGACCTTAGCTTAGGTTTGTTTCTAACTAGCTGTTATAACTTAAATTAACCCATTTTTTTAATCTACACACTGTCATGTACTTGTGGCTTTTACCTCTCCTCCTGCATATCCTACTTTCTCTGCACCTGACTGATGACTCCACGTTTCTTCTTCCTCGAGATTGCTCTGTCCCAATACTGCCTAACCTCCTATATAGTCCTGCCTAACTATTGGCCCTTCAACTCTTTATTAAACCAGTCATAGTGGCACATCTTCATACAGTGTAAAGGAATATTCCGCAACAGCTAAATGGTAACTAGGCCCTCTACCTATGTGACTCTGTTTAGCAGATGGCCTGGCAACTGATTCCACCTCCTTCTTATTGGTGAGAGTGGAGACTCATGCCTGTAGGCACGGCCTGGAGCCAGTCTATCTGCCCAGCTCTGGGAAATTTCTGGGTTCATGCTATGGTAGGCAGTTCTACCTAATCTCTTGCCATGGAGTAGTGCTCTGCCCCCTACTCATAAACCTCGTTCAAGTGTTCGGTTGCAGGGGCTCTCAAAAGAGCCGGGCCTGTCTATGCTGCAAGCACCTAGCCTATGTGGAACTTTTCTCTTTTTCAGCTTTCTCAGTCCCTATGTGGATTTATATGCCTCAAGTTGGATATCAAATGTAGGCAGATTTTTCTTTTGGCCACCAGCTCACAAATAGCACAGACTTCTTATTAATTATGGAAGTTTGGCCTTTAGCTTAGGCTTATTCCCAACTAGCTCTTATAACTTAAATTGACCCGTTTATATTAATCTACATTCTGTGGCATGGAGTTACCTCTTTCATCTTGCACCTCCTGTTTCTTCTGTGTCTGGCTGATGACCCCACCCTCCTAGATTCCTCTCCCTTTTCCCGTCTTTCCCCAAAAATCCCACTTATACTTCCTGCCTAGCTGTTGTCTATTTAGCTTTTTATTACATCAATCACAGCAATACTGCTTCCCACAGTGTACAAATATCCCACAACATATGATGGCACCCATGTACTTGCAATCTACTTACACTTTGTTGGATGTTCAGGTGAATTTAGAGATCTAAATGATCTTTTTGAAGATGTGGAACTGTCTTGATTCAGTGATAAATAAGAACTGAAGGTTCTGATTTGATATTATTTATTTTTAATCACTTCAATCATTATTCACTAATTTATGCAGCAAGTTTTATTGAGTATGTGATGTGTTCTTTGTGTCTGCATTAGTGTCGATCCCAGTCCTGGGGTTTACCTGGTTGCTTGAGTTAGGCCTAACCAAAATATTCCAAGCTAGTTTTCGTGTTGACTGAATTGGTAGTACTACCACCCTCTGCACAGGCTTGTAACAAAGATTTGATAAACTGTGTTGGCATGCACAACAAATGCTAATTCTTTGTTTCTCTTTTTCCTTATCTCTGTTTTTCTCAAGATTTTATGCTGGGTGCCATTGGAAAGTGGGAAAGGACCTTGCCTTTAACAATCTGTAAGTTAGTAGTAGGGCCCGAGAGAGCTCCTGAGGTTTTACAGGTTGACACACCCAAAGAGGTGGAATTCAGTGTCTGGTATCATATAGCGGTGGCTGCTGCTGAATCCTGGGTACCCAGCTGTGAATACTCTCCTTAGGATGGCTGTTCTGCGGCAGTGACTCTTCCCTTTGACCGTCCAGACCTGTGCGTTTCTATATGCACTCTTCTCTTGCTATGCACAAACCCTCAATTGTGTGTGGGAGTTCTGTGTACATCAGCCCCAGCATCTTCCTCCACATGCAGTCTTTAGGATCCAGAGGAAGACTTTAGGAAAAGTGGACAAATTGTCTTCTGTACATAGTGACAGAGATGTTTTTTTTTCCTTTTCTTTCTCAGCCCAGGAGTTAAAGTCACTGTTTGAAAAAAAATCCCTCAAAGAGAAGCCTTCAAGTTCGGGCAAGCAGTCCATATTGTCTGTACGCCTGGAGCAGTGTCCTCTGCAGCTGAATAACCCCTTTAATGAGTATTCCAAGTTTGATGGCAAGGTAAGTTTAAAGAGACTGTGTCCCTTTTACTGAGACAGAGGGACTTGTTGTTGGTATCATCATGATAATCATTTATTATTAGATTTAGGTTTTAAAAGTGCCTCAGTATTGTAGAACACCACATTTCCTAAGACCTTAGATATAAAAGGTAAGAACGTGGGCCCATTGTTTCCATAGTAATATTTAGGAGAGCTAACACAAAAGTCTTGAGCGCCCTCTCATTCTTTTCTTCTCTGTACTCACAGTCTAGGACTGCTTCAATTCTCCTAGATAACATATTTTTGCACACATATAATTATATATATTAAGCTGAGTGTGGTGGTACAGACCTGCAGCCCTAACACTTAGTGTGCCAGAGCAAAGGGTGGTGAGTTTGAAGCCATCCTATGCTACATAGCAAGAACTTGTCTCTCAAACCCAATAAAAAATACGTCTCTCTTTCTTTCTAATGTATATAATCTATGATGCATATATGTGGGTAGAAGCAAAGGGAGGTCTGTGTGTACCTATTTATTTACCTGTTTCATCACCTTGTACGTGAGAGTTTGGGCTGGGTGGACTGATGAAGCAGTTGTGTTGGGAAAGACTTAGAAGTGGCTCTGGGAAGTGGTTTGCATTGTTCTGTCTGCTGTCTACAACTATAGAAATTGTGAGGTCTCCCTTCAGAATTCCAGGCCATTGTATTTTGGTCTTTCACTGTTGGGGGTTTTGTTGGATGCTGCCAGGGTGGGTGACTTTTATTTTTCCCATTTGTAGTAACAGTTTCCTTTTATAAAATTAAAGTATGTTTATTTTCCTTCTAGAAAAATGGCCACTCTTTCAGGAGGAGCCCGGTACTCTTATGAGCCTCAGTTCTGAGCTGAGCAGGGCCCTTTTTAGGAGACAGTTTATTTTTTTAATTTATTACCACTGTGTTCGCTGCCTGGCAGTCGTGTGGGGGTGCTGAGTGATCATTTGCTGCCTCGAGGGGTCATATGCAATTTATCTTATTTCAACACTGTTGCAATTAATAAGTGGCAGTGCTTTGCACATGTTTGCATTTTTCTCCTCACACGCTAGTTTTGTCAGTTATCGTTGAGCAAAGAGAACTTTCTGGAAACATCTTATCTCAGACTCTTCTGGATTCCATAGGTGGAAGTCAGCAAGTACTCATTAGCAGTAAGGCTACTGATATCAGTGAGGGTGGACAGGAACCAGAAACAAAACACATTAGTAACATACTGGCCCTCAGATACTCAAGAGCTCCTCCAGAAAACTCCCAGAGCATTGTCAGTCACTTCCAGGTTGCATTGTTCTGAACTTGTCTTTAGTCAGCCCAAGCTATGCCGTGCTGTGGAAAGTAAGGAAAAGAAGGTGGGCTCCCCAGGAACCTGGACTGTCTCCAGCTGCACTGCAGAGGATTCATTTAGGTGTGTGAGAAGCTAGCCTCAGCTGGGACATGACTGAAAGTTACTTGCCTTTGTAGCTGGTATAGTCTCATTGTTGAATGATGAAGTTGATAAAATAATTAATATGTGATTCCATGCCAACAAACAGCTCAGACTGTAAAAAACAATTCTTGCTAGAATTTCCCTTTTACCATTAGTTTGGGTTTGGATTTGTCTGAGAGTTGTGAACATTGTGTGGTAAATGTAGCTAACTTCTGAAGCTTGGGAAGACAATTAATAAAAACAATTTAAAAAAAGCCATTTCCTTAGTCATACCAGCATTTTTTGTTAAATGTGTGTTTACATTTAAGTTTCCCTATGCTTTATCTTCGTGAACCTTTTGGTAATCTGTAGAGAGTAAGCATTGATTAAGAAGGATTTATACATCAATAAGTCTATCTTACAATGCCTGCTATTTTATTATTACCCCATATATTACAATGCTAAAATACAATTAAACCCTTGCTTTCATCTATTATTTAAAAATGATGCATTTGGCAGATACAAAATGAAAGTGGCTAATATTTGAAAGATACTGTACCGTACATATTAAATCAGTCTTTATCTTTGTGAAAGGCATCAATATGATCGTCAGTGGCATCTCAGTGATTAATAGAGAATTATACTTGAGTCAAGCCTTTTTGTAACTTAGAAATTAAAATGACTATTCAAATAACACCTCAAAATGATCAAATTAGCATTTTGTGATTGCATAATAATGGGATTGTAGTAATGCTAACAGTGCCATGGCTGCCTCCAGAGTTGAGATTGTGTCAACCCCCAGATAATAAAGCCTTTCTCTGCCAGTCGACTTTAATCATTTCCAGATTGATTCTTTCTGTAAATCATTTGACATTCAGTACTAAATTTTTGTTACTGTTGTAATTTAAAATTATTTTACTTTTATTCAGCTCATATTTAAGAAATGAAATGAATAGTCTGTCTTAATGATTTGTCATCTTGTTATTGGGACTACATGTTTTTGCCTCAAATATAAGGGTTTTCCATGTATTTAAATACTATATGTAATATACCTATACACACACACACATATACATGTATGTATATATCTGCAAAGAATTTTTAAGACCACTAAAACCTATTCGGTGTTTTTTTTTCTTTTTACAAATATTCATGGATGCTCTCCTTGGGAGTAGTGCTTGCCTTATTTACATAATTAACTGAGTTGCTTAGGTCTCTTGGGCAAATGGTACATAATTGGGGAGAGAAGGGGACAGGAAGAGTTTGGGGTCTAATTAAATATGCTAAAAACCTACTTAATTATGTATTTCCTCAAGAGACTAGTGACTGTGCAGTCCTCTTTAAGATGTTACTGTTGGCTTGGAAGAAAGGATTTGTTTTGGGTATGGAACAACAGTCTCATGGTAGTTATGCAGGCATGGCTAGTGTCTTTAACAGTTTTGCAGACTTGTGTCATTGGTTTTAGTGAGCCTAAGGGTGAGTATCTCTTTGAATTTTTCCTAAATTAAAGTATTTTAAAATTATTTTTGGTTCCTATAGTTGGCTAATAATTTATTAAAAAATATTTTGGGAGTTAATATATTTTTAGAGCATAGAATTGGGAGATTTGTACTTGGTTAGGATTTTTTTTTGTTAATTTGGAGGGAGGGACATGTCAGGCTTATACTGTTTATATTATTTCTTTGGGAAATAGATGATGCTGTCTGACTTGGTTTGAATCCTGAGCATTTGAGGGAAGTTCAGGGTAGACTGCGAGGAACTGTAGGTAATGTTTGTCTGAAGAGGTCCAATCCAGCTCAGCATCTGCATGAAGTCTTTTTTGTTTGTTGGTGGGCATGTGGGGGTGAAAGGAGAGGAACCTCTTGAGTGTGGACTCTGGGCCTCCTGTCTACCAGACAGGCATTCTCCACTAAGCTATAGCCACTGCTAGAAGCAACCCTGAGAAAGCTTTTTTATAAAATGCAACCTCTGGTGTAGGCTGAGATCAGAAACTTTCTACTCCAGTTCTGATTTTACTCTGTGGAGAAGTGGACTGTGCTTCCAGATGCTTAATGATGATGAGGGTGGGCTCTGGGCTGAAGGCAGGCACTGGATTAAGTTCCTTGGAGATGCTGTATCATGCCCCACCACGGTGTTAGAGATTGGCCCAGGCCAGGGTCTCTTACTCATGCATGCTAAGCAAATGGTCGACCACTGGGCTGAATCCCAAGCTCCAACTTCATGTTTAGAGATGTGGACTAAGGCAGGTGTCGTGGCACACCCTTTTAACCCAGTACTCAGGAGGTGGGCAGTGGATACTCACCCTCACAGTTACTTATTTATTTACATATTTTTTACTTATTTATTTGGAAGGTAATAGCTACTAAAAATTAATCAGAAAGATACTTGGGCATTAGCAATTGTTGGGCAGTTGTAATAAAACATTAGGTATCCTACCTAGTGTGACATAGCTAAATACTATTCCCCAAATGTGAGGTGGGTGTTTGCTTTGACAAGGGCTTAAAAAGCAAAAGAGGTCTGGTTCCTACCAACAGCTGTGACTTTGATTGTGTTAACTTGTTAGAAAGTAGCCACTCCTCCAGTAGAAACTGAACAGGAAACTGCAGAGTGTGGGGGAGGGGATAATTCACGAGTGCTAATTGCTTGGCTGTTAATTTTCATAAGTGTTGATAGAAGCAGTTCCTTAAATTAAACTTTGTTTAAAATGTATCAGGGGAAATATTCCACAATGTCGAGCCTGAAGTGAAAATTAATATGAATGCCGTGGCAATTAACACATACTGGTTAATAGCTTTTAGCAGCATTTTGGGATGATAGTCCTTAAATACATTTTTGCATGCTGCTCTTGTTCAGCATTGTTCTAGTCGGATGTCTGGATAATTATGAACCAATGTTTCCTACAATCATTGGCATTAAATAGCTCTCTTCAAAGAAAGTCACTTGAAACTTTTACAGGAAAGAATGATGTCACAAGAAATGTTACACATTTTGAAAAGGTCAATGAATTGAAACCATGTATTTAAAAAACAGCTGGATTAGCCAGATGGCTTAGCGGTTAGTGATTAAGAGCACTGGCTGTGCTGGGTGGTGGTAGTGCACACTTTTAAGTAAACTCTCGGGAGGCAGAGGCAGGCAAATCTCAGGAATTCCAGGACTGCCAGAACTTTTATATAGAGAAACCTTGTCTCTGGGCTGGGATGGGGTGGGGTGGAGGGGGTGGGGTGGGAAGCTCTGTCTTCTCATATATATATATATATATATATATATATATATATATATATTCATTTATTTATTCTGTATACAATATTTTGTCTGAGTGTATGCCTGCAGGTCAGAAGAGGGCACCAGACCCCATTACAAATGGTTGTGTGATTGGTGGGAATTGAACTCAGGACCTTTGGAAGAGCAGGCAGTGCTCTTAACCTCTGAGCCATCTCTCCAGCCCGGGAAGTTCTGTCTTGATGTGGGATGTCCTTCTGTATATGTGTAGCTTTTATTGGATAACGAATAAAGCTGTTTCGGCCTATGGCAGGGCAGAATATAGCCAGGCTGGAAGAGTTATAGAGAAAGAGTAGGCAGAGTCAAAGAGAC